ACAATAATACCCAAAATAATTAAGTCATTAATTACTAGGGTGCCTACTGACATGTTTCCTTAGTTACTCATATTTAGAGAGGCCACATTCGTCATGCTTCACAGGAGTTTAGGATCAAAGTGATGCTACATTAGAGTCTGTCTCTGGACTGGTTGTTTGCTGCTCTATGAGTTCAGCAGGAGGAGGTGAACCCAAAGCTGGGAGTGGTTCCCTAGTGGGCGGGAGGATCATACTTCAGGTTCAATATTATACTTATGTTCATCCTGGTCTAAACCTGGTCAGAAGAACTGACTGCACTTTTGAAAATTCAATACTAGTCTGACATTATAAAAGGTAACCCCAAACTGTCTACAACGGTTGTTTTCTGTCCAAAGCAAATTTGATTGAAGAGGTCTGTGCAATATGTGAATAATTGTCATGAATCGCCGTGTGGCAGGCAGGAGTAGGACCCAAGATGCAGGCACTCAGACTCAAGGGATGAACTCAAAAAACTCAGCTTTATTGGCTGGCAGGGGAAAAGCATACGCAACTAAACTGGGAAAATATAAACTCACATTTTGCAGAGAGGTACACGAGGAAACACACAGCTCGAGGGACGACGCGACACCGACTCAGAGAAACACAGGGTTTGAATACACTGGGAAGTAATGAGGGGAATGAGACAGAAGGAGAGCACAGCTGGGAGAAATCAGAACTGACGAGACAGGGAGCAAAGTAGGATACATTCACATAAGACACGGACCTTCAAAGTAAAACAGGAAGTACGACACAGAGACGCGAACTTGACACGGTGGAGACAGCAACTAAGAAACACAGAGACAAACCATAAGGTAGAGGACTCTAAGAACTGAAAGACACAGAGGTAAACTCAAACATGCAGACACAGACTTACACAGAACAGAGGGTACACAGAGAAACATGAAGGGCAAGGGATCGAAACTAGAAACCATAGAATAACTCACACAAGTACAATAATACAAAAAGCACAAAGAACTAAACATGCTGGGTCAGGGGACCCAGGACCCTGACAATAATAATAAATATTACTTCTCCTTCCTTTTCCATAAAAAGGGATGTCTCACGTGCTCAGTGAAGTTAAAGTAGTGTTACTAGAAATATTAAGACACAAATGGCAGTAATACTTTTTAAAAGGCCTAATGACTAAAATCAGGTAACTTAGGTACACCTGCTCAAATATCTAATCAGCCAGTCACATGACTGGAAATTGTTGCATTTACAGTAGTCATGCAGACCTAGTCATGATGACCCTCTGAAGGTCAAACCTACTACCTTTAGGTGACTGAATGACATAAGACAGCAACGTTCTGGTATTTGTAATTTTTCTGT